ATTTTCACTCCGAGACCTCGTCTTCCCATCGCTTTAGCATAGCAGCGTATAAGACACTATAATTGCTTCTATCTCGTTCCAATGCGAGTTTCTCTATTCCCAGAGTGTTCAAAATTGTCGTACAACTATCCCGACCCTTTCCTTTCTCATATTAAAGCCTTCAATAATTGTACATCGATCGAAATATGAAAGCTCCACGCCATTTTTGTTTTGATTTGGACTGGGGTAACGAATTATTCTCAAAAGCTCGATTCAATTCCTTTAAAAAGTGTCCTGTTGGAATCGACTGATTTTAGGGGGTTTCACTTCGCCTTAATGTTGCCGATGTTCGTCTTTATATTGACAGCTGCGTCGAATTATATTGAATATTGTACTAAATGGCATACTCCACCTGTCGTTTCTGTACAATAATTATAAAGAAATGGAAGTAAAACTCCAGAAATCCCCTGGATCCGTAACTTCTGAGGCCCTAATTGACCGCAGAGAGAATCTCTGCGCCATCTGTGATTTTCGTGTGAACTAAATTTTCACTCCGAGACCTCGTATTATCATCGTCTTTGCTTAGCAAGGCATAAGACACTTTTTTTACCTTGATCCCGTTGAAATGCGAGTTTCTGGATTACCAGAGGGTTCTAAATTGTCGTAAAATTGTTCTGACCCTTTCGTTTCTCATATTAGAGCCTTCATTAATTGTACATCGATCGAAACATGAATGCTCCACGCCATTTTGGTTCTGGTCTAGACTGACATAACGAATTATTTCCAAAAGTTCAATTCAATTCCTTAAAAAAAATGTCTTATTCGGATCGACTAATTTGAGGGGGTTCCACTTCGCCTTAATATTGCCTACGTTCGATTTTATATTGATAGCTGCGTCGAATTATATCGAGTATTGTACTAAATGTCATACTCCACCTGTCGTTTTTGTATAATAATTATAAAGAAATGGAACTAAAACTCCAGAAACAACCTGGATTCATGGTTTCTGAGGCCCTAATTGACCGCATAGGGAATCCCTGCGCCATCTTTGATTTTGATTTCCGTGTCACCAAATTTCACTCCGAGACTTTGTATTCCCATCGTTTTTGCATAGCAAGGCATAAAACAATTTTTTTTACCTGTATCCAGTTCTAATGCGAGTTTCTCTATTCCCAGAGTGTTCTAAATTGTCGTACAATTGTCCCGACCCTTTCGTTTCTCATATTAGAGCCTTCAATAATTGTACATCGATCAAAATACGAAAGCTCCACGCCATTTTGTGTTCGGCCTGGACTAAGATTACGAATTATTTCCAAAAGTTCAATTCAATTCCTTCAAAAAAAATGTCTTATTCGAATCGACTGATTTAAGGGGGTTCCACTTCGCCTTAATGTTGCCGACGTTCGTTTTTATATTGACAGCTGCATCGAAATATATCGAGTATTGTTCTAAACGGCATACTCCACCTGTCGTTTTTGTACAATAATTATAAAGAAATGGAAGTAAAACTCCAGAAATATCCTGGATTCATGGATTCTGAGGCCCTAATTGACCGCAGAGGGAATCCCTGCGCCATCTTTGATTTTGATTTCCGTGTCAACTAAATTTTCACTCCGAGACCATGTATTACCATTGTTTTAGCTTAGAAGCGCATAAGATACTTTTCTTGCCTTTAACCCGTTCAAATGCGAATTTCTCGATTATCAGAGTGTTCTAAATTGTCGTACAATTGTCCTGACCCTTTCGTTTCTCATATTAGAGCCTTCATTAATTATACATCGATGGAAACATGAATGCTCCACGCCATTTTGGTTCTGGTCTAGACTGACATAACGAATTATTTCCGAAAGTTCGATTTAATTCCTCTAAAAAAAGTGTCCTATTCGAATCGACTGATCTGAGGGGTTTCACTTCACCTTAATGTTGCCTACGTTCATTTTTATATTGATAGCTGCGTCGAATTATATTGGGTATTGTACTAAATGGCATACTACACCTGTCGTTTTCGTACAATACATATCAAGGAATCGAAGAAAAACTCCAGAAATCCTCGGAATTCATGGTTTCTGAGACCCTAGTTGACTGCAGAGGAAACCCCTGCGCCATCTGTGATTTCCGTCTCAACTAAATTTTCACTCCGAGACCTTGTATTACTATTGTTTTAGCTTAAATCGCATAAGATACTTTTTTTGCCTTTAACCCGTTCAAATGCGAGTTTCTCGATTATCAGAGTGTTCTAAATTGTCGTACAATTGTCCTGACCCTTTCGTTTCTCATATTAGAGCCTTCATTAATTGTACATCGATCGAAACATGAATGCTCCACGCCATTTTGGTTCTGGTCTAGACTGACGTAACGAATTATTTCCGAAAGTTCGATTCAATTCCTTTAAAAAAAGTGTCATATTCGAATCGACTGATCTGAGGGGTTTCACTTCACCTGAAATCCTAACCAAGATTTGCTTGCTCAGGGTAAGAGACCGTTTGAAATTCCAGAAAATCCAGTGGAGTTTTCCCGGATGGCGAGGTATCGGTGGGCTAGGAAAATTACGTTGCAGGGCGTACATAGTTATCCCTTCCATTTCATCCCTACTACGCGGTCGAGCTACAGGGAGAGAGAGGGTGAGATATAGAGAAACGTCCAACCCTTTACCAATGTTTGCTCCCCGGGAAAGCTTCGCAGCGATTGCGCTTCCGCGGATTTACTCCCACAACTGCAACCCCCCTCTCGCTCTTTTCCAATCCTTCCTATGGTTACCTTTCGAGTGAAACATCCTACTGAGCCCTACAGGGGAAAAAATAATTTCATTATAATTACTATAGGGACATGCCACCGCGGAACGAGGAATGTCCGTAAATTAAGGTGAAGTGAAACACGCCGAGGAACTTGATCGACGTCGATAAAGAAGATTTTTATAAATGCCTACGTTGCCGACGTTGGTTTTTATATTGACAGCTGGGTCGAATTATATTGGGTATTGTGCCGAATGGCATCCTCCACCTATCGTTTTCCTACAATAATTATAATGTAATCCAAGTAAAACTCCAGAAATCCTCTGGATTCATGATTTTCGAGGCCCTAATTGACTGCGGAGGGACCCCCTGCGCCATCTGTGATTTCCAGGTCAATTAAATTTTCACTCCGAGACCTCGTATTACCATCGTTTTAGCAAAGAAGCGCATACAACACTTTTTTTGCCTTTATCCCGTTCAAATGCGAGTTTATCGATTACCAGAGTGTTTTAAATTGTCGTAAAATTGTCCTGACTCTTTCGATTCTCATATCAGAACCTTTCTATAATTGTATATTGATCGAAATATGAGAGCTCGACGCCATTTTGGTTCTGATCTGGACTGTTGACAAATTTTTTTTTAAAATCCATATTTTGAATGTGTCAGGACAATTCTTAGATGATCAGGAGTGATGTGTCAAAGTTGTGGACAGTTTGGTCTAATACCCTTAAAAAAAAGTGTTGTATTCGAATCGACTGATTTGAAGGGTGTTGATGGGGGTGTTGAAGGGAATTGATCGAAATATGAGAGCTCGACGCCATTTTGGTTTTGGTCTGAACTGAGTTAAAAAATTTTTTTTAAAAATCCATATTTTGAATGTGTCAGGACAATTCTTAGATGATCAGGAGTGACGTGTCAAAGTTTCGAACAGTTTGGTCTAATACCCTTAAAAAAGAAGTGTTGTATTCGAATCGACTGATTTGAAGGGGGTTTCACTTCACCTTAAATAATTCATGCTTGCATGACACGATAAGAAAATGATATTGTTGGACTTTTAAATATAGTACATGTAAATATGAATGCAATACATATTTAAAAAATATGAGTAGACTCGAGTGTTCTTCTTTACTTTTAACGGCTTTCCATCTTCCCGCCTTTCCTGCCTATAAGCCTCACCTCTCAACAATTTTCGATTTACAAGGTATAAACCTTTATTAGCAATATTACTAGACCAGAAGTGCTAGTGATCTCGTTCTTTCATATAGCGCATACGTAATTCGGCGAATAAACCCACGTGAGATGAAAGTGCGAGAAGTGAGCGCGCTCGTCAAAAATACGTAATGAACGCCCTGTGTATGCGCCAACGTTTCGGAATAGCGCCTCTGGTGACTGAAAGTTGTACTAAAATTACCCAAGGAACCGTCTCCCCGTGCCATCGAAGATTTCGCGGGGTTTCCAAAGCTGTATATAGGAGCGTGAACTGGACCAATCTTTTCCATCTTCCCGCCTTTCCTGCCTATGAGCCTCACCTCTCGACAATTTTCAATTTACAAGGTATATATCTTTATTAGCAATATTACTAGACCAGAAATGCTAGTGATCTCGTTCTTTCATATAGCGCATACGTAATTCGGCGAATAAACCCACGTGAGATGAAAGTGCGAGAAGTGAGCGCGCTCGTCNAAGATATATTGAATAAACATAACCTCACTCTTAAACATTTGCATGCACACAAAGGTTATGCATACCTTAGAATGTACTGCTTCTATATTACTTAACTTACGCAAAATTAATACCCACGTCAATAATTACAAAAGCTAAATTTGCTGTTTGGTTAAATTCATAAATTGCGTTTAATTAAAGCTTGTTGGTTGGGAGTCTCTGTATATATTTTAAATGTCACGATGGAACCAATGAGAGAAGAGGTTTTCTTGGATTCCCATTGGTTAACGCTTCGACATTACTCGTTACGCTCTTAGCGAGAGGTCTTTTAGGGCTCGATATACTACCGATACCCATAACGACATTTGTCGCTACATTAACGACGTTTGTCGCTTCAAGAAAGTTATAGAATAGGTTTTGTCGTTACGGTGTCGCTTCGGTAGATTAGCGATTACGATAGCTGTCGTTACGAGTTAGAGAATAGGCCTACAGCGAAGATTTCGCGGGGTTTCCAGAGCTGCATATAGGAGCGTGGACGGGACCAATCGAAGCGAGGCATTTCCCGCACGATGTGCGCAGGGCCAGCGGTTGATCTCGAGCCCGCTTTCGCAAAGCGGTGAGGATCGTTGACGTCTCGGGGCCGCGAAAAGCTGGTATCGCGCTTCGGGCTCCTCTGACTCCGAGTCGCCGAGACATGGTGAAGGGCGACGGCGCGGACGGCGACGTCCTCCGGGACGACTCGAAGGACCGGGAGACGAGAGACATGGCGGCCGACGGGGACGACGGAACGGGGCCGAGGGCTCGCTTGACGGCGGCCGCCACGTCGACGGAGAAGCCGGAGACGACCTGTGGCCCCAGGAAGGGCGAGGCTCCGTCGCAGACCACCAAGGGGAACAACTGTAAGCTCGTGAGTCGTCCTCTGGAGGGCCCCCAGGACGAGAACGGCGGACCCTGCTGGGGCAACCTGCCCAGCGTCATCCTCCTCGAGGTCTTCTCTTATCTACCGCACGAAAGTCGCATCGCAGCATCTCAGGTAATCTTGTGCTTAAGGTAATACTATATATATGAAATGTGCAAATATTTATAACTTTTCTTAAAACTAGGTACACCGAATTATTTCAAATTTCAGTACGTGATTATGAAGGACGTAAAGAAGAACGTAATGCTCATGAAATTTCAGTTTAGTGAAAGAGTCATTCTATATATATGAAGCGTCATAATATTTATACAATATTCTCCAAACTGGGTGCACCGAATCGTTGGGAACTTTACATGTGATTATGGAAGGTCTAAGGAAAACCGTGAGGCTCATGAAATTTCAGGTTGTTTACCTTAACCGGTTAACTGCATTCAATGTGTATACATGCCAATAACCCATAATGTTACAGTAAATTCCACCGTTAACAGGTTATGGCGATACGAACGGGTCATTCTATATATAAAAATGTAAAAATATTTATAACTTTCCTCAAAATTGGGTACATCGAACCATTTCAAATTTCAGTGCGTGATTATGGAAGACGTAAAGAAGAACGTGATGCTCATGAAATTTTAGTTTAGTGAAAGAGTCTTTTAGAGACTATATATATAAAGTGTCAATATATTTATACAATATTCTCCAAACTGGGTGTACCGAATCATTGGGAACTTTACATGTGATTATGGAAGTCCTAAGGAAGAGCGTGAGGCTCATGAAATTTTAGGTTATTTCACTTAACCGGTTAACTGCGTTCAATGTGTACCCATATCAGTAACCCATAACGTTATAGTAAATTCCACAGTTAACAGGTTATGGCGATACGAAAGGGTCATTCTATATATAAAAATGTAAAAATATTTATAACTTTCCTCAAAACTGGGTACATCGAACCATTTCAAATTTCAGTACGTGATTATGAAGGACGTAAGGAACAACGTGATGCTCATGATATTTCTGGTTATTTCACTTTACCAGTTAACTACATTCGTCGTGTATATATGTCGGTAACTCATAATGTTACAATAAATTGCGCAGTTAACAGGTTATGGTGATGCAAAAACGTCATTCTATGTATCAAAATGTAAAAATGTTTATAACTTTTCCCAAAACGGTGCACCGAATCATTGGAAACTTGATCACGTGATTATGGAAGGCTCACAAAAGAATTTGATGCCGATGAAATTTCTGGTTATTTCACTTAACCAGTTAACTGCGTTTATCGTGTATACATGTCGGTAACCCATAACGTTACAGTAAACTGTGCAGTTAACAGGTTATGGTGATTTGAAAGGATCATTCCATATATCAAAATGTAAAAATATTTATAACGTTTCCCTAAACTGGGTATACCGAACCATTTAAAATTTCAGTACGTGATTATGGAAGTTTTACCATGGAAGGTACCCCAGGTCAATCTCTCCGATTTGACTTCTTTTATAATGTGTTATAGTAGACATTTAGCTGCAGCTAAATTTTTGCTCTAAAAACACGCGTTAGCCGCAGGACAATCTAGCATTCTCTTGCAATCATTGGTGAAAGTATGTACCACATTTTAATACATACCACCTCTTAAGGGGATATGAAAATGACATGCGAAAGCTCCATCGTTCATAAAACTTTTCTACGAACTGGGTGTCTCAAAACGTTTCATACTTTAAAACGTGAATATGGAGACCCTAAAGTAGGTCCTGAAACTCGCGAAATTTCATTTTTTGTAAACTATTTTTAAAATACATACAAACAAATTTCAAAAGAATTTGATGAGTTTCAGGACCTTCCTTATAGTTTTCCTATTCACGTTGTAAAGTTTCAGACTATTCAGTAAACCGAGTTGGGAGAAAAGTTTTATAAACAAAACCTTTTCGATGCCACTTTCACATCACCTTAAGAGGACATGAAAGGCGCTAAGAAATTTAATCGACGTGGATAAAGTAAAATTCATCTATACCCTTTTTGGCAGGAATGCCGTTTTGAATATTCAAGGGGGAGCATGAGCTGGTGCGTCCCATTACCAACATTTATATTTATGTTGAAGTCTTTTACGATCTACGTTAAGAATGATACGAACTGAAGGGTTCTATATATCATTTCGGGAAAGTAATGATAAAAAGATCGACGTAAAACGGCTGAAATCCCATGAATTCATGATTCTTTATATTTCGACGAACCACCGTCGCCATCTGTGACGTTTAGCTGCAACTAAATTTTTGCTTTAAAAACACGCGTTAGCCGCAGGACAAGCCAGCATTCTCTTGCAATCGTTGGTATTTACCGCGTTAAAATGTATTAAAGTACATACCACCTCTTAAGAGGACATGAAAGGCGCTAAGAAATTTAATCGACGTCGATAAAGTAAAATTCAGCCATACCCTTTTTGGCGGGAATGCCGTTTTGAATACTCAAAGGGAACCATAAGCTGGCGCGTCCCATTACCTACATTTATATCTATGTTGAAGTCTTTTACAGTTTACGTTGAGAATTATACGAATTGAAGGGTTCAATATGTCATTTCGGTAAAGTAATAATAAAAAGATCGACGTAAAACTGCCAAAATCCCATGAATTCATGACTCTTTATATTATAACGAACCAACGTCGTCATCTGTGACGTTTAGCTGCAACTAAATTTTTGCTTTCAAAACACGCGTTAGCCGCAGGATAATCCAGCGTTCTCTTGCAATCGTTGGTGAAAGTATTTACCACATTTTAATACATACCACCTCTTAAGATGATATCAAAGGCGCTGAGGAATTTAATCCAGCTGGAGAAATTAAAATTCATGTATACCCTTTCTCGGGGGAACGTCATTTTGAATACTCAAATGGAAACATAAGCTGGCGCGTCTCGTTACCGACATTTATATTTATGCTGAAGTCTTTTACAGTTTACGTTGAGAATTATACGAATTGAAGGGTTCCATATGTCAGTTCGGTAATGTAATGATAAAAAGATCGATGTAAAACTGCCAAAATGCCATGAATTCATGACTGGTTATATTTGGACGATTCAACGTCGCCATCTGTGACGTTTAGCTGCAACTAAATTTTTCATCTAAAAACACGTGTTAGCCGCAGGACAATCCAGCGTTCTCTTGCAATCGTCGGTGAAAGTATTTACCACATTTTAATATATACCACCTCTTAAGAGGATATGAAAGGCGCTAAGAAATTTAATCTATGTCGATAAAGTAAAATTCATCTATACCCTTTTTGGCGGGAATGCCGTTTTGAATACTCAAGGGGGACCATAAGCTGGCGCGTCCCATTACCGACATTTATATCTATGTTGAAGTCTTTTACGGTCTACGTTAAGAATGATACGAACTGAAGGGTTCTATATGTCATTTCGGTAATGTAATGATAAAAAGATCGACGTAAAACTACTGAAATCCCATGAAGTCACGATTCTTTATATTTCGACAACCCAACGTCGCCATTTGTGACGTTTAGCTGCAACTAAATTTTTGTTCTAAAAACACATGTTAGCCGCAGGACAAGCCAGCATTCTCTCGCAATCGTTGGTGAAAGTATTTACCAAATTTTCCCATCTGACTCTGTAATATTCCATTTCTACGGTATTCTAAATTGTTCGAGGCAGGTCCTGAAACTCTTTATTTTCGATTCCAGGCCGTCAAGAAGCGTAAAAAATCGAAAACGTGTGAATGAGTGTGTATGAATAATGAAATTTCATGAGTTTCAGGACCTGCTTCAGCGCCTCCATATTCCCGTGGGAAAATTTGAAAGGAATCGGTATCCTGAATTCGGAGAATACTTTCTCCAACGATTTGACTTCTCACAAGGAAACATTCCCAAGTGTTCGCCGCCCATCTTATTGATTTTCATATATGTTGAAGAACACAAAAATCTAAGAAACACGTGTTTTTGTTTTTATCTGCAATGGTCCACATTTAAGGTGAAATGAAACACGTCGAGGAACTTGCTCGACGTCGATAAAGAAGATCTTTCTAAATGCCTACGTTGCCGACGTTCGTCTTTATATTGACAGCTGTGTCAAATTATATTGGATACTGTATCAAATGGCATACTCCACCTGTCGTTTTTTTACAATAAATATCAAGAAATCGAAGTAAAACTCCAGAAATCCTCTGGATTCGTGCTTTCCGGGGCCTTAATTAACTGAAGAGGGACCCCCTGCGCCATCTGTGATTTCCAGGTCAATTAAATTTTCCCTTCGAGACTTCGTATTCCCATCGTTTGGGCATAGAAGCGCACACAACACTTTTTTTGCCTTTATCCCGTTCAAATGCGAGTTTATCGATTACCAGAGTGTTCTAAATTGTCGTAAAAGTGTCCTGACCCTTTCGTTTCTCATATCAGAACCTTCGATAATTGTATATCGATCGAAATATAAGAGTTCAACGCCATTTGGGTTCTGGTCTGGGCTAAGTTAAAACATTTTTACAAAAATCCAAATTTTGAATGTGTCAGGACAATTCTTAGATGGTCAGGAGCGATGTGTCAAAGTTTCGGACAGTTTCGTCCAATACCCTTAAAAAAAAGTGTTGTATTCGAATTAACTTATTTGAAGGGGGTTTCACTTCACCTTAAGGTGAGGTGAAACACGCCGAGGAACTTGATCGACGTCGATAAAGAAGATTTTTCTAATTGTCTACGATGCCGACGTTCGTTTTTGTATCGACAACTGTGTCAAATTATATTGAATATTGTACCAAATGGCATACTCCACCTGCCGTTTTTGTACAATAAATATCAAAAAATCGAAGTAAAACTCCAGAAATCCTCTGGATTCATGCTTTCTGGAACCCTAATCGACTGCAAAGGAACCCCCTGCGCCATCTGTGATTTCCAGGTCAATTAAATTTTCCCTTCGAGACTTCGTATTCACATCGTTTTGGCATAGAAGCGCACACAACACTTTTCTTGCCTTTATCCCGTTCAAATGCGAGTTTATCGATTACCAGAGTGTTCTAAATTGTCGTAAAATTGTCCTGACCCATTCATTTCTCATATCAGAGTTTTCAATAATTGTATATTGATCGAAATATGAGAGTTCGACGCCATTTTGGTTCTAGTCTGAGCTAAGTTAACAAATTTTTTCCAAACATCCAAATTTTGCATGTGTCAGGACAATTCTTAGATGATCAGGAGTGATGTGTCAAAGTTTCGGACAGTTTGGTCTAATACCCTTAAAAAAAAGTGCTGTATTCGAATCGACTGATTTGAAGGGGGTTTCACTTCACCTTAAATGTGAACCATTGCAGATAAAAACAAAAACACGTGTTTTCACCGTCATTGATGACAATAAATTTTATTCGTGGATCGTGGACTGAGTTTATGAATGTTACTAATGTTTTCCTTCATTCGTAGGTTTGCAAGAACTGGAGGTATGCACTCTTCCACCCGACGTTCTGGAAGAAGATTACGTTCACGCTAAAGGACGAGGACAACATTTCTTGGGCCAGGTGAGGAGAGGGGGATCATATTGAAAGAGAATTTCAAAATAAATGTATCTCTAAAATAACGTATCCAGTTCGATATAGCGACTGGGAATAGTTTTTAAATTAAGGCGAAGTGAAACACGTCGAGGAACTTGATCGACGTCGGTAAAACAGGTTTTTCTGAATACCTATTGTGCCGGCGTTGGTTTTTATACGAACTGCCACGTAGAATTGTATTGAGTATTGTACTAAATGGCACACTCCATGTGTCGTTTTCGTACAATAATTATAAAGAAGTCGAAGTAAAACTCCAGAAATCCCCTGGATTCATGGTTTCTGAGACCCTAATTGACTCCAGAGGGAACCCCTGCGCCATCTGTGATTTCCATGTCAACTAAATTTTCACTCCGAGACCTTGTATTACCATCGTTTTAGCATAGCACCTCGTAAGACACTTTTTTTACCTTCATTTCATTCAAGTTCAGTTCAGTTTCTCGATTATCAGAATGTTCGGAATCGTCGTACAATTTTCCTGACCCTTTCTTTTCTCATATTAGAGCCTTCAATAATTATATATCGACCGAAATATGAAAGCTCCACGCCGTTTTGGTTCTGGTCTGGACTGAGATAATTATTTTCAAAAGTTCGATGCAATTCCCTCAAAAAATAGTGTCTTATTCGGATCGAATGATTTGAGACTGGTTTCAGTTCTCCTTAATGTTGCCGGCGTTCATTTTTATATTAACAGTTGCGTCGAATTATATTGTGTATTGTATTAAATGGCACACTCCATGTGTCGTTTTCGTACAATAATTATAAAGAAGTCGAAGTAAAACTCCAGAAATCCCCTGGATTCATGGTTTCTGAAGCCCTAATTGACTCCAGAGGGAACCCCTGCGCCATCTGTGATTTCCATGTCAACTAAATTTTCACTCCGAGACCTTGTATTACCATCGTTTTAGCATAGCACCTCGTAAGACACTTTTTTTACCTTCATTTCATTCAAGTTCAGTTCAGTTTCTCGATTATCAGAATGTTCGGAATCGTCGTACAATTTTCCTGACCCTTTCTTTTCTCATATTAGAGCCTTCAATAATTATATATCGACCGAAATATGAAAGCTCCACGCCGTTTTGGTTCTGGTCTGGACTGAGATAACGAATTATTATCAAATTTCGATGCAATTCCCTCAAAAAATAGTGTCTTATTCGGATCGACTGATTTGAGACGGGTTTCACTTCCCCTTAATGTTGCCGGCGTTCATTTTTATATTGACAGTTGCGTCGAATTATATTGTGTATTTACTAAATGGCATTCTCCATGTGTCGTTTTCGGAAAAATAATTATAAAGAAGTCGAAGTAAAACTCCAGAAATCACCTGGATTCATGGTTTCTGAGGCCCTAATTGACCGCAGAGGGAACCCCTGCGCCATCTGTGATTTCCGTGTCAACTAAATTTTCACTCCGAGACCTTGTATTACCATTGTTTTAGATTAGAAACGCATAAGACACTTTTTTTTGCCTTTATCTCGTTCAAATGCGAGTTTATCGACTACCAGAGTGTTCTAAATTGTTGAAGAATTGTCCTGACCCTTTCGTTTCACATATTGGAGCCCATTAACTATTGTACATTGATCGAAGTATGAGAGCTCAACGCCATTTTGGTTCTGGTCTGGGCTAAAGTTAAAAAATTGTTGGAAAAAATTCAAGTTTTGAAAGTTTCGGGTTAATTCCTAGGTGCTCACGAGTAATGTGTCGAAGTTTCAGACAGTTCTATTCAATGCTCTTAAGGCGATGTTAAAGTGGCGTCGAAGAGGTTTCGTTTATAATACTTTTCTCTAAACTCGATTTACCGAATAGTGTGAAACTTTACAACGCGAATAGGGAGACTATAAGGAAGGTCCGGGAACTCATGTAATTTCAATTCTTTTCAAATTTGTTTATAGGTATTCTAAAAATAGTTTATAAAAAATGAAATTTCGCGAGTTTCAGGACCTACTATAGGGTCCCGTATTCACGTTTTAAAGTATGAAACGATTTGAGACACTCAGTTCGTAGAAAAGCTTTATGAACAATTGAGCTTTCGGATGCCACTTTCACATCCCCTTAAGGTGATGTCAAATTGGCGTCGAAAATGTTTTGTTTATAAAACTTTTCGCCCAACTCGGTTTACCGAATACTTTGAAACTTTACAACGTGAATAGGTAGACTATAAGGAAGGTCCGGAAACTCATGAAATTTCAGATCTTTTCAAATTTGTTTATAGGTATTCTTAAAATTGTTAATAAAAAATTAAATTCCGCGAGTTTCAGGGCCTACTATAGGGTCTCCGTATTCACGTTTTAAAGTATGAAACGATTTGGGACACTCAGTTCGTAGAAAAGTTTTATGAACAATTGAGCTTTCAGATGTTGAAGCGGTTTTGTTTATATAACTTTTGTCCCAATTCGGTTTACCTAATAGTTTGAAACTTTGTAACGTGAATAGAGAGACTATAAGGCAGGTCCTGGAACTCATGTAATTTCAGTTCTTTTCAAATTTGTTTATAGGTATTCTAAAATAGTTTCTAAAAAATGAAATTTCGCGAGTGTTAGGACCTACCTTAGGGTCTCCATATTCACGTTTTAATGTATGAAACGATTTGAGACACCCAGTTCGTAAAATAGCTTTATGAACAATTGAGCTTTCGGATGCCGCTTTCACATCCCCTTAAGGTGATGTGAAAGTGTCGTCGAAGAGGTTTTGATTATAAAACTTTTCTGTAAACTCGATTTACCGAATAGTGTGGAACTTTGTAACGTAAATAGAGAGACTATAAGGAAGGTCCGGGAACTCATGTAATTTCAATTCTTTTCAAATTTGTTTATAGGTATTCTAAAAATAGTTTATAAAAAATGAAACTTCCCGAGTTTCAGGACCTACCTTAGGGTCTCCGTATTCACGTTTTAAAGTACGAAACGATTTGAGAAACCCAGTTCGTAGAAAAGCTTTCTGAACAATTGAGATTTCGGATGCCACTTTCACATCCCCTTAAAAGAAAGTGTCTTATTCGAATCGACTGATTTGAAGGTCTCACTTCACCTTAAGTCTTCGCCCATGTATATTTTTCACCTTGTGTAATCGATGATCATTTATGTTGGGCGATTAGGTTCCTTGCAAACTGCTTTGGCCTCAGTGTACGAGAAGCCACGATACGTTGCGATTCTCCTGGGCGATGCGTCGGCGAGGCTCTGTGGATATTGAAGAAGTTGAGCAGCAACACGCATTTACGTAAATTATTCTTGGAGCCCAGCAGCTGCGCTTTTGAATGGACATGTCGACGTGAAGACAACAAAGACGAAGGGTACTAGAAGGAATCATTATATTTTCCTCAGTTACGGTTAAGATGATATGAAAGGCGCTGAGAAATTCAATCAACGTCGACATATTAAAATTCATCGATACCTTTTTTGGTGGGAACGTCATTTTGAATACCCAAGTGGTAACAGTAGCTGGCATGTCTCGTTACCAACATTTATGTTGAAGTCTTTTACAGTTTACGTTGATAATTATACGAACTGAAGCATTCTGTATGTCATTTCAGAAAAGTAATGATGAAGAGGTCGGTGTAAAACTGTCGAAATCCCAGGAATTCATTATTTTAACGACTGTTTAGAACCTATGTCGCCATCTGTGACGTTTAGCTGCAACTAAATTTTTGCTCTAAAGACACGCGTAAGCCGCAGGTCAATCCAGCATTTTCTTGCAATTGTTGGTCACATTTTAACACATACCACCGCTTAAGAGGATATGAAAGGCGCTAAGAAACTTAATCGACGTCAATGAAGTAAAATTCAGCTATACCCTTTTTTGGGGGAATACTGTTTTGAATACTCAAGTGGGAACATAAGCTGGCGCGTCTCGTTACCGACATTTATATTTATGTTGAAGTCTTTTACAGTCTATGTTGATAATTATACGAACTGAAGCATTCTGTATGTCATTTCAGAAAAGTAATGATGAAGAGGTCGGTGTAAAACTGTCGAAATCCCGGGAATTCATTATTTTAACGACTGTTTAGAACCTATGTCGCCATCTGTGACGTTTAGTTGCAACTAAATTTTTGCTCTAAAGACACGCGTTAGCCCCGAGACGAGCCAGCATTCTCTTGCAATTGGTGGTCACATTTAAATACATACTACCGCTTAAGAGGATACGAAGGGCGCTAAGAAATTTAATCGACGTCGATGAAGTAAAATTCAGCCATACCCTTTTTAGTGGGAACGTCATTTTGAATACTCAAATGGGAACATAAGCTGGCGCGTCTCGTTACCGACATTTATATTTATGCGGAACTCTTTTACAGTCTACGTTGAAAATTATACGAATTGAAGCATTCTGTATGTCATTTCAGAAAAGTAATGATGAAGAGGTCGGTGTAAAACTGTCGAAATCCCAGGAATTCATTATTTTAACGACTGTTTAGAACCTATGTCGCCATCTGTGACGTTTAGCTGCAACTAAATTTTTGCTCTAAAGACACGCGTAAGCCGCAGGTCAATCCAGCATTCTCTTGCAATTGTTGGTCACATTTTAATACATACCACCGCTTAAGAGGATACGAAGGGCACTAATAAATTTAATCGACGTCGATGAAGTAAAATTCAGCCATACCCTTTTTAGTGGGAACGTCATTTTGAATACTCAAGAGGGAACGTAAGCTGGCGCGTCTCGTTACCGACATTTATATTTATGCGGAAGTCTTTTGCAGTCTACGTTGAAAATTATACGAACCGAAGGGTTCTATATGTCATTTCGGTAATGTAATAATAAAAAGATCGATGTAAAACTGCCGAAATCCCATAAATTCATGACTGTTTTTATTTTGACGAACCAGCGTCGCCATCTATGACGTTTAGCTGCAACTAAACTTTTGCTTTAAAAACACGCGTTAGCCGCAGGACAATCCAGCGTTCTCTTGCAATCGTTGGTGAAAGTATTTTCCATATTTTCCCGTCTGACTCTATCATATTCCATTTCTACGGTATTTTAAATTGTTCGAGCAAGGTCCTGAAACCCTTCATTTTCGATTCTAAGCCTCCAAGCCGCGTAAAACATCGAACACGTGCCCGGAAGGAAGGTCCTGGAACTCACGTAATTTCAATTCTTTTTGTTTTCAGATGCAATTTGTATTTCAAACATCTTTGTTTATACGCGTTCTAAAAGTAGTTTATAAAAAATGTAATTTCGCGAGTTTCCAGGAGACTCATTTTGCCGCCAGTTGTTAATTCCGATGTATGTTTAACAGGCGTCAGATTTGTACGCGCATAATGGAGGCTTTGCTGGATATCGTGGAGAATTCTAATCAACTGGAGGCTCTCGGTTTCGGATGTGCCGAAGACTTGATGGCGAATGCTGGAGCGATCCTCGAGCAGCTGCAGAACTATCACGCCAAACATCTGACACATCTCAGCCTTGCCTCTGTCAAGGAAGATCCCGATCACTATGCCCTCCTGGAGCTGGATTGCAGCGCCTTTAGATCCTTTGTAAGATTATCCGTGCTAACGATAGATTACGATTACGTTAGTGACACTTTACTCAAGGCATTGGACAATGGTACGATGGAGAGGCTTGTGATTCATGTGCATGGCCTAGAAGAGGATCACCCTGGGACTACGAACAGTGCTTGGCTGTTGTTCCGGCAAAAGAAGTGAGTATGACTCTTAGTTAACATCGAAAGGATCGGTGAATGGTTAAGGTGAAGTGAAACACGTCGAGGAACTTGATCGACGTCGATAAAGAAGATTCTTCTAAATACCTACGTTGCCGACGTTGGTTTTTATATTCAGAGCTGTGCAGAGTTATATTGGGTATTGTACCAAATGACATACTCCACCTGTCGTTTTCGTGCAATAATTATAAAGAAATCGAAGTAAAACTCCAGAAATCCTCTGGATTCACGGTTTCTGAGGCTCTAATTCACTGCAGAAGGACCCCCTGCGCCATCTGTGATTTCCAGGTCAACTAAATTTTCACTCCGAGACCTCATATTTCCATTGTTTTGGCATAGAAGCGCATCCAACACTTTTTTTGCCTTTATTCCGTTCAAATGCGAGTTTATCGATTACCAGAGTGTTCTAAATTGTCGTAAAATTGTCTCGACTCTTTCGATTCTCATATCAGAGCCTTTCTATAATTGTATATTGATCGAAATAAGAGAGCTCGACGCCATTTTGGTTCTGATCTGGGTTGAGTTAAAAAATTTGTTTAAAAAATCCAAATGTTGAATGTGTCAGGACAATTCTTAGATGATCAGGAGTGACGTGTCAAAGTTTCGGCCAGTTTGGTCTAATTCCCTTAGAAAATAGTGTTGTATTTGAATCGACTGATTTGAAGGGAGATTCACTTCACCTTAAGATTGATCGACGTCGATAAAGAAGATTTTTCTAAATACCTACGTTGCCGACGTTGGTTTTTATATTCACAGCTGTGCAAAGTTATATTGGGTATTGTACCAAATGGCATACTCCACCTGTCGTTTTCGTACAATAATTATAAAGAAATCGAAGTAAAACTCCAGAAATCCTCTGGATTCACGGTTTCTGAGGCTCTAATTCACTGCAGAAGGACCCCCTGCGCCATCTGTGATTTCCAGGTCAACTAAATTTTCACTCCGACACCTCGTATTACCATCGTTTTAGCATAGAAGCGCATACAACACTTTTTTTGCCTTTATCCCGTTTAAATGCGAGTTTATCGATTACCAGAGTGATCTAAATTGTTGTTAAATTGTCCTGACCCTTTCGTTTCTCATATCAGAGCCTTCGATAATTATATATTGATAGAAATACGAAAGCTCCACGCCATTTTGGTTCCGGTCTGGACTGAGATAACGAATTATTATCAAATGTCGATACAATTACCTCAAAAAATAGTGTCTTATACGGATCGATTGATTTGAGGCGGGTTTCGCTTCTCCTTAATGTTGCCGGCGTTTGTTTTTATATTGACAGCTGCTTTTAACTATATTGGGTATTGTATCAAATGGCATACTCCACCTGTCGTTTTTGTACAATAATTATAAAGAAATCTAAGTAAAACTCCAGAAATCCTCTGGATTCACGGTTTCTGAGGCCCTAATTGACTGCAGAAGGACCCCCTGCGCCATCTGTGATTTCCAGGTCAACTAAATTTTCACTCCAAGACCTCGTATTCCCATTGTTTTAGCTTAGAGGCGCATAAGACACTATTTTTTGCTTTTATCCCGTTCAAATGCGAGTTTATAGATTACTAGAATGTTCTAAATAGCCTTACAAGTGTCCAGACCCTTTCGTTTCATATATTAGAGCCTTTAGTAGTTGTATTTCGATCGAAACATGAAAGCTCCACGCCATTTTGGTTTTGGTCTGGGCTGAGTTAACGAATTATTTTCAAAAGTTCAATTCAATAGCCTTCAAAAATAGTGTCTTATTCGGATCTACTGATTTGAGGCGGGTTTCACTTCTTAAGGTGAAGTGAAACCCCCTTCAAATCAGTCGATTCGAATACAACACTTTTTTTTAAGGGTATTAGACCAAACTGTCCGAAACTTTGACACATCACTCCTGATCGTCTAAGAATTGCCCTGATACATTCAAAATTTGGATTTTTCAAAAAAATTGTTTAACAGCCCAGACCAGAACCAAAATGGCGTCGAGCTCTCATATTTCGATCAATATACAATTATCGAAGGCTCTGATATGAGAATCGAAAGGGTCAGAACAATTTTACGGCAATTTATAACACTTTGATAATCGAGAAACTCGCATTTGAGCGGGATAGAGGCAAAAAAAGTGTTGTATGCGCTTCTATGCCAAAACGATGGTAATACGAGATCTCGGAGTGAAAATTTAATTGACCTGTAAATCACAGATGGCGCCGGGGGTCCCTCAGTAGTCAATTAGGGCCTCAGAAAGCATGAATCCAGAGAATTTCTGGAGTTTTACTTCGATTTCTTTATAATTATTGTACGAAAACGACAGGTGGAGTATGCCATTTGGTACAATACCCAATATAATTCGACCCAGCTGTCGATATAAAAACCAACGTCGGCAACGTAGGCATTTAGAAAAATCTTTACCGACGTCGATCAAGTTCCTCGACGTGTTTCACTTCACCTTAACTGGAAGTGAAAAGCGCCGAACTAAAAGACATCTCCGTGATATCTTACGGATAACTTTGTCGGCAACTTATCCGTAGGTGAAAAAAATCGAGTATAAGTCAAGATTTTCCCTTTTTCAGTCCTCGGTGTGAACTACGATTGAACCTGGTGCACTCCTACGTCGCTGTCACCGTCCTGGACTCCGACATCCTTCGTCCGGCGATGCCGTTGACGCATCTGAAGGTGCTCTTCTGCGAAAACGTGAACGTTGGTGCACTGCACAGACTATCAGGGTGGTATCCAGATTCGCTGAAGTCATTGATATGGATAGACTCGTTAGATCAATCGCAGTACTTGCCTCCGACACATGATCCAGATGAGCCAGATAGGTAAGCTCAGATGATAACGCGATATCTCAGCCTCTCTGACACGTTAAGGGTTTACACCACTTTGACCCACCCAAAAATTACGGTTTTTCAATTATTATTTTTTTTTTTTAAATTAAAACGTTTTTATCCTAATTAAAGTACAGTAAGGTAGTGCACTACTATTAAGCAAAAAAATGCTTCTTTTTGTATTTTTTTTTATTTACAAAAATGGCGGCTTGAAAGGCGATTTACCGGAGCGCTGCGAAAATCGATGATCGTGCGGTGGGCACGAATTTTTGTTTAAGAATTAAAACGTTTTTATGCAAATTAAAGTACAGTAAGGTATTGTACTACTATTAAGCAAAAAAATGCTTTTTTTTTGTATTTTTGTTATTTACAAAAATGGCGCCTTGAAAGGCGATTTACAGGAGCGCTGCGAAAATCGATGATCGTGCGGTAGGCGCGAATTTTTTTTTTAAGAATTAAAACGTTTTTATCCAAATTAAAGTACAGTAAGATATTGTACTACTATTAAACAAAAAAATGCTTTTTTTGTATTTTTTTTATTTACAAAAATGGCGGCTTGAAAAGCGATTTACCGAATCGCTGCGAAAATCGATGATCGTGCGGTTGGCACGTTAACTCAGTCCAGGTTTAAGTTAGAACAATAATCGAAAAAGAATTAGTATCTATAGCCCAAAAGCTAACGAAATACGTAGCCGTTTTCAAAAATATGCATTTTTCACAAAATGGCATCGATTTGAAAGGAAAGATACATATTTTGCCCTAAATTTCCTTAATTAATGTTGCATAAAAAATGCGAATATCAATACATTGAAAAAATCATACGTATTTCGCTAGATAAACATATCACGAATAAACTAAAAAAAGAATCAAGACGATTGATTGAAAATTGGCGGAGCTAGAGTGCCCACCGATTTTTAAAATGCAGTTTTAAGAAAAACGCGTTTACACCTATACACCTGCCCACCGCACGATCACCGATTTTCGCAGTGAGCTAGTTTAATAGTAGTATAATGCCTTACTGTACTTTAATTTGGATAAAAACGTTTTAACTCTTAAAAAAAAATTCTTGAAAAACCGTAATTTTTGGACGCGTCAAAGTGGTGTAACCCCTTAAAACGATATCAAAGGCGCTGAGAAATTTAATTCAGCTCGAGAAATTAAAATTCATCTATACCCTTTTTGGTGGGAACGCCATAATTATTTTTTTTTCCCTTAAATTGAGAAAATTATATTTTTCATTTATCGTTATGAGAAAGCCTTTCCAGTTGGATTGGTTAAAAAATATTATGTTCTTGTGAAACTGCCAAAACGCCCCTTGGCATGCATTACTTTGGATGGTGGTTTAAGGTGAAGTGAAACACATCGAGGAACTTAATCGACGTCGATACAGAAGATTTTTCTAAATACCTACGTTGCCGACGTTGGTTTTTATATTGACAGCTGGATCGAATTAGGTTGGGTAATGTCCTAATTGGCATACTCTACCTGTCGTTTTCGTACAATAATTATAAAGAAATCGACGTAAAACTCCAGAAATCCTCTGGATTCATGCTTTCTGGGGCTCTAATTGACTGCAGAGGGACCCCCTGCGCCATCTGTGATTTCCAGGTCAATTAAATTTTCACTCCGAGACCTCGTATTCCCATCGGTTTGGCATATCACCGCATAAGACACTTTTCTTGCCTTTATCTCGCTCAAATGCGAGTTTATCGATTACCAGAGTGTTCTAAATTGTCGTCAAATTGTCCTGACCCTTTCGATTCTCATATCAGAGCCTTCAAGAATTCCATATCGATCGAAATATGGGAGCTTGATGTCATTCATTAACTTTAAGGTGAAAAACACATCGAGGAACTTGATCGACGTCGGTAAACAAGATCTTTCTAAATATCTACGTTGCCGACGTTGGTTTTTATATTAACGACTGTGTCGAATTATATTCGGTATTGTACTAAATGGCAATACTCCACCTGTCGTTTTCGTACATTAATTGTAAAGAAATCGAATCGTCGAGATATACTCATATACCACCTAGATCCGTTGTTTTCAACCGATGTATAAATGTTTATTGGCAAAAAGCAAAAAACACGTATTTCCTCATTTCTCGTGAGCAATCACATGGCGTAAGTAGAACTTAAGTAGGAGGGCTTGCTTAATAGATATTACAAAAAAATTTCGCCCGAAGGGTAGTTTACCCCCTTGAGGTGGTGTAGCATTCCTGGACAATATTGGTTTTTCACCGTCTTTATACAGAATACGTTTATGCCAAGTTTCGTCGTTATATTGACAGCTGGATCGAATTAGGTTGGGTATTGTACCAAATGGCATACTCCACCTGTCGTGTTCGTACAATAATTATAAAGAAATCAAAGTGAAACTCCAGATATCCTCTGGATTCATGCTTTCTGGGGCTCTAATTGACTGCAGAGGGACCCCCTGCGCCATCTGTGATTTCCAGGTCAATTAAATTTTCACTCCGA